TAGGAATTGATGAGCTTCCATCAGACATGTAGCACTAATCTCCATCAAACTTAGAACAGGTATGTTCAGTACATTGGAAGTGTTTGCAGACTGTCCTGCTCTGAACCCAAGATGTGAGATAAAACCAGTGATCAGTGTAACGTAAAGTAGATCTACGCCTTGTTCAAGTGGCTTTTGGCTGGCTGCTCTCGGTGCTGAGAGGAGGGAGGCCACCTCGGGCGTGCTGCCTGGCACACTGGTTTATTAAGCAGGTAGGCTGCCTGAAGCCTGTGCTGTTGCTTGTACTTAGTATCCAACCAAACTCATCTGGAGTTGTCTCGAGTATACCTGTGCAAACCACAGTTATACTTTCTGATTATATGTTTGTGATTTTAAAAAACCTGTTCATGATCAAAAAAACCCACCAAAACACACTTTTATTTTATTGCAATATTGTTCTGAACCTGAATGTCTCTTATGTGTAGGTTTTATGTTTTTGAATTTTCAACCATTTTTGTCGAATTTAGACACATCTAATGAAACTGCGATCAATTTAATTCCATGGATAATAGGCTGGGTGCAATAGGAGCTGTGGAGAAGTACTTTTTGTGGGAGAGGCAGGATTAACGATGAGAGAACGGAATGGAATTTTGTGTGTGGAGGGAAGCAAGAAGTGAGTGGAGGTTAGGGTGGAGGCTCCGAGTGCTTAAGGTATTGTTTGGAGAGGAGGGTTTAGCAGGAACCTACCACAGATGTGGAGGGAAGGGAGGACGTGTGAAGGCATGGAGCAGGACTGGCCAATATTTTATTGTACTATGGTATTGGAAAGGCTTGCCTGCGTGCATAATGACACACTGAGAGCTTGGCAGGGCTTTCCTGCTTTGTGGAGTCAGGCAGTTCCTGTAGCATGTAGTTTGCATCGCTGCCCTTCCTCTGCACTCTGAAGGATATAAATATACTCCCAGCTGGTCCATACCAAATGCCTATGGGCAGTGAAGTGAATTCCCTGTTTTCATCCTGAAGTGAGGTGCGTGTGTGTGAGGCACTAATATAAAGGAACTTGTATCCACAAAAACTTAAGCCATGTATTTTTACTTAAATAGCATCTCTCAAATCTTAACGTCAAGTGATACGAGAACCTATGCAGGATATGTCATAAATGGTGTAATTTCTTCTTCCCATAATTTCTTTGTGTCCCATTGGCACACAATTCTACTGCTACACTGTAGAATTGCATTTGGATTATGTGTGCTGTGATGTGAAAGTTTCAGCAATGTTAACTTAACCAAGACATAGGTACAAACATCCTGCATTTTAATCTGTAAACTTGTTTTTTTCACAACAAAAGTGGAAATATGCGAGTTGTTAGTGCAGATGTGAAACTTACCTGAGCTATAACAAACCCGTCTGGAATCTAAATATGTGTTTAGCACATTTTGTTCACTGTAATGGGGTTTGTCAATTTGGTGCATCAGAATAATCCAATTCAAGAAAAAATGTTATTCAATAGAAATTACGTCACATTACTCATGATCGCATTTTGTTTCTAATAAGTAAATGTAATGTACAAATGTGTGCTAAATGTGCCTTGTGTTGATACAAGTAAGAAAGTATAATTGTTTGCAAGCATAAATCTTATGTTTGCTTAAGTATGATTCTTAATATTAAAATGGTTATGAATGTGGGTTGCTTGTTACACTGAAGTTAAACTGTAGTTTGAAATTAAATAGATCTATATGAAAGGAGTATAAATGTATGAAGAATTTTAAATGCACATTCTCCTACTCTGACTTTTCTGCTGTGTCATGTTGGAATACACAGAGGGATAACATTTTACTTTCATCTAATGAGCTGCTTGAGTGGACATGAATGTACAAAAATCTTAAGTTGGGAAATGACTTTAAACTGTATATTGTTGAATGGAACCATGTTACGATCGTCAGAGTAGAAAAGGAAGCATTTTTACTCTTTGAAACTGCTTTATATATTGCTTTGTATATTTTGGTGTGAGAGACGGGCCTAAGGTAGGGTTGGGATGTTGCTGGATTTCAGACTGCTGCATTTAGCCTGGACTGAAGTTCAGGCTATCCTCACAAAATATTTCAGGCCTTGAAATTTCAAGTTTTAAGTGAAAGGCTGTTGGGGGTGGTGGGGACAGGATTCAGATCTTTAATCTCTTTTGTACAGTAAGACTTTCAGTGGTAACCAGATTGACTGTACAGTCTGTTCACAGTGTGCACATATAAATGTGTATATAAATTTTTGTTAAAATTTAATCAACTCTTGTAGAAGAAAAATAACTTTTAGTCTTCAAGTTTTTAGATGCTGTTTACTCTTAAATGCTTTTCTTGTTGGAGTATAACTCGAGTTTTCTCTGAGCTGCTCGTATAAAAATCCAAGTTCAAACTTTGCTCCGTACGCCTTCACATTCATTGTAGTATTTTGTCGTTAAAAAAAAAATAAATCTGTTCAACCAAGTTTTTGCTGGTTGACCCGTGCTACTATTGATTTATTTTTTCTCTTGAGCAATATAGGAAGAATTTGCACTACCTGGAATGTCAACAGAACTGATAAAGCTTAATTGTCAACTTTAATAGTTGTGGGTTGTGTAATTGAAACCTGTTGTAGCAGATGTGGTAAAGCTGTTGTATCTAAGTGTTTTAAATGAAACATACTGTACATAGTAGGACATTGTTCTTTCAGAAAGGATTCTGTCCATCCCTTCCTCATGTGTAGTAAATTTCACCTCTGTTTTTTAAAAGGCGAAAACAAAATACGCTTTTCCATCTCATTTCTAGTGAATCATTTTGTGGGTGACATGAGCAGCATAGCTGCCATTTGTTAACTTCTAGTTTGGAGCAGCACCTTCTTTATCAGTAAAATCTTCTGTGTAACAGCTATCACAGTGCACTGTAATAAACTTGTGTGTTTTACTTATCAGGTCTTAAGCTAGGTAATTTTAAAGTTATTACCAGGAAACTTGCAGTAAGTAGCAACTTAAATAAATAACATATTCCTGCCTTTGAGACATCTTTTAAGTGATCTGTTAGGATTCCAGTGTTTCTGTTTCCTTCTGTTAACAAGATTCTCCTTTGTCTCTAGTTCTTTAGTGAATTCTTAGCATAGTTGCTCTTCGGGATGTAGCAAATTCCTTTGGGGAGGAGGGGATGGTTCTTGTGTGTAGCTATTTATTAATAGTTCAGCAAGTCAGTTGCATCTACTGCTTTAGCTAGTGATATTCCTGTTTTGCTGTATTCCTAGTTTGCAATTAAAACACCCAACCTTTTCCAGTTTTTCTGCTTAACTGCTGATACTTGCATCTACTTCTAATGGAATGTGTTTTTTCTGATACACTAATGTTCACCTCTTTCCTCCACGTTTTCCTTTCTTCATCTCTCCCTCTATCCTGCTTGATAGCAATTTACTTAGTCAAAAGAATCTGTGATGTTTACTTACACTGAAGGCCTACCCCTTTAAAAATGGTGAAGACATTCAGAAAACAACTTGGGAATGCATTGTTTACTTCTGCAAACCTGCCAACGAATGTACTTGCTCTAAAATACTGATTTAATATAAAATTCCAGTTTTTAAAACTAGTGGGATAAAGTATCTTGTGTGAGTAGTAATGTCTTTTTAGAATATTGTTCATTTGAAGTACGTGAGGGAAAAAAACTCCTCATTTTGGAGGGATTCGGTTTTGTATTTTGATCGGAGCTGTTTACTGTTTAAACAGTTGTAACGTATTAAGCTGAACAGAAGTGTCTTGAGCCGTTGGAGTCTGCCTTCATAATACCTAAAGAAAGCTCCATCTCAGCCTAGGTGCGCTCATGAAGCATTGCCTTACTTCTGCAGACATAATCCTGCCACCTTAGAACCATGAGGTTTTTTCTTGCTTGCCAGGTTTTCTGCATTTCTGCTTAGTTCAGGCCTAGGCCTGTGAAAATGATGTAGATTTAGGTTGTTCAGTTTCTTCTTTTACTGTCTTTGAATAGCTCAGAGACTTTCAGCTTTTTTGTTACAAGTGAGCTGTGATGGCCTCTTGAATGCTTTCTGCTCTGGCTACTATTGCCCAGTTAGCTGAGGACAACACATACTCTTCTGCGTTTTCTTTTTTTTTTTTTTTTTGAAACAACTTAGTTTCATGCTCCAGTTGGCGTCTGAAGAATTCGTAAGACACCAAAGTCAATTTTCTCAATGAAGGAGATTCTTATAAGAAACATTAGTTTTGCTTTCATCATAAACTGTAAAAACAAACCAAGGAAAAAAGGGGTTAGTTAGGTAATGCAGCCCACTTGAAATTGGTTGAAAAGAGGAGGGACAAGGTAAAAGGTAGGCGAAAGCTGTCAGAATCCTGGGTGATGATGCTGTTAAATAAATGTGTCTTGAGAGCGTGCAACTAAGCAATAGAAAAGTAGGTAGTGTAACCTGCTAACAACACATTTTGTTATATTTTTAATGGCAAGTTGTTAATTTTCATGGAGTTTTACAGTAAACCTGATTTCTATTAGTAAAGATCAGTTGAGGAGGGGATGCAGAAAGAAGGCTGCTTCCTAATGGCAATGAATATCAATTAAAAGCTTTTTACGCTTTCAATTTAGCATCTAATATTTTATGTGGTAATTGCAGCTGTACCTATTGGTGAAATTTGCGTGAGAAGACAGTAGTAATTTATTTGGTGAGGATATGAAATACAGGAACTAAACCAATATAAACTATTTAAAAACATTTCAACCTTCTAACAGGAGAAAAATTCAGCAGTTGAAGCTTTGAATTTTAATTATTTTGTCACTTCTTAACTATTGTCACATTTTTATTGTTTCATTAGCAGATATGTATTGTTTAGGACTTCTTGCTCTTTGCTTTACAGTCTTATAAATATCAAATTTAAATGGAGAGAAGGGGGTTGGCATGGAAAAATCAGTCCTGTTTTGTGGCGGGCATTAGGGTATAACTGATGATGAGTCCTCATATTCACCACTTTCAGTGAGTTTGGTGTAATAAGCTTCTTGTACATCCTACAGCTTTTTTTTGCATTTGCAAATGAAGAAAAGTTTTCTGAAAATGGATGGATGGTGTACAACCCAATGTCCGAATACAGGAGACAAGTGAGTTACTAAGGTTGCAATTGCCCTGTGCTTTCATATCTGTCAGCTTATGTAGAGGGAATATTGTTTGTGCGTTTCTCTTGTCAGCTTCTATGTGGGGGTAGCTGAGAATGGGAGAAGATGGAAATACAACTTGAAAAAAAAGTAAAGAAATAAAACATTGGAACCTTAAAAAAAAATAGAATGTCACAGGAAGACAGTCTTTCCTCTTTGAGGGAAGTTATTGACACTTCTTACAATGTGTCACTGTTAAGAGAGCAGGAGGTGGGGCGAATGTGCCAAATATGTAACTACAGCGTCCTAAATATGTATTTGATTTGGTCTTTGATTTGGTCTACTTCTTCCTGAAGTGAAGGAGAAAAAAAAAAAAAAGCAGCTTATTTTAGAAACAGTGCTGCTTTACAAAAGCTATACAGAAGTCTGTCAGTATTCTGCTTTGTTCTTCAGGTGGTTTTGGAAAAATCTCAATGAAAGAGGATTACATATTTAAATTTAAAATACCTTTTAGATAATTTATTTTTTCTTTAAATGTGACATTTAAAAAAAAAGTAAACAATAAGGACTTCCTTGAATTTTTTGTTTCCCTCCGTCGGTTTTTGATTCAAGGTTTAGAGGCCCAAGACCCAGAAGAGGTAAAATACCAACACCCACACAAACCCCACTGTGTGTGTACACGTGTGGAGAGTTTATCAGTCTCAGTTTCCTGGCTGCTGTTTGTGAAATGCCTTACAGAGCAGACTGCAACTAAAAGTTGTTGTTTCTCAGTAAGAAAGCTACCCTGAGTCTTATTTTTAACCTGAAGGTAGTATCAGGCTACAGGGAAGAAAGGTTGAGATGAGACTTCCTCCCCGCTGTCTTCTCACAACCATAATCTCTTTTCAGCAAAAGAGATTTTTTTTTTTTTCAGGCAAAATGGGAAGGCAGAGCTTTGAGGGAGGAGGGAAGGCAATTTTCCTTCCTCAGTCCCGCAGTTAAAGAAATACATGTATTAGTTTTAATCATTGCTTTGAAACTTGTTGTAAGAATGGAATTGCGTGTGTAAGAGCATATGAGAGCTGTGCAGTGGTTTAAGGCTGTGAATCCATCAGCGATGAGCTGGTTTGTGTGGTCTTGTAGTCTTTTTTCTTCTATTGTTTCGAAACAGTCCTGTAGCTAGGTTAGATCGGTGGGTTGTTGCCACCATGTGGCCGTAATGTCATGTAAAATTCAAGAGCAGAATTATTATTCGTACAGCCAAAAATACATGGAAAAACTTTGTGTTACGTTTTAGGGGCTGCCTAATGAGCGGTGGCGAGTAACTTTTATTAACGAACACTATGGCCTGTGTGACACGTACCCATCGCTCTTAGTAGTGCCGTACAACGCAACAGACGACGACCTCAAGAAAGTTGCTGCCTTTAGGTCCCGAAATAGAATTCCGGTGAGTATTATACGATTTGAAGAGGAACCAGAGTATGTGATGAACGTTACCTTGTAGTGTAACTAGTTTGAAGTATGCATGCAAACAACTTTTTAGCTAAACATGACACAGAGGAAGTTTTTTTTGGAAATGGCTGCAGCAAAATAGTTTTCATTGGCTGGTGGTTTTTACTGCTTGAAACTAGTGTCTTGGCCAAACCACATTTCCGTTTTTCCCCCACAACAATCACCCATTCCAACTTTGGTTTTAACTTGGCTTTTCTCGTAACAACTGCCAGCATTGCAGATTGCCTATTCTTAATGAAGTATGAGCCTTAGACTGCCATCTGTACTAGTTTGTTGACTATTATTGGATGCACAGAAAAAGCGATAGCAAATGTTACCTTCCTGTAAGCAAACCGCATGGCATTTAAACATAGTTCCAATGGTCAGTCCTAAAACAAGGCCTCATGCATAGTGTCTGTAGTGAATTCTAGGGCTTTTTAGCCCTTTAAATTGGGCTGTGGAATTTAAGATAAACCCATTTGGCTTTTTGGATATATTTCTGTATCTAAAATTCTCTAAGATAAGAGAATTTTTATGTATCAGCTCTTTACAGCACTGTAGAAAAATACTAATTTCTATCACAGTACAATCTGTTTTAACTAATATTTCAATTTGGCAAACTCTGAAGAGGTGCTAGATTCTTAGCCAGTGTCAGAAAGCCGCCTTGAATCTCAGTTAATTTCAAACAGATGTGAAATTCAACATCATAAATATTTATTAAATATTATATTTACTGACAGGCTAGGCCTATAATTATGAATTTATTAAATATGCACACATATGCATATGTATAATATATAATGTGTATAAAATATATATGTTAAATGTATAGTGCATTCATATAGTTCTTATAAACTAGCTGTATCTTCTGTGTTATCTCAAAATTAATGACAGGGCTTTTGTTGCCTATACAGTGAGAGTCATTTCCTTGGTAATAGTAATTTTGTTTATGTCAGGGAATAGCCAGTCGTACTCACCTGCACACAGACTGGCAGGGCTCATTTCTAAATATACAGCTAAGGGTTGGATTGTAGGAGTGAATACTCCCTGAAGATTTTTTTGTCTTTTTTTTTTTTAACTCCGATGTTCTTTCATGCTGTAACCCACAACTTCAGACTGGGAGAGAATACTGTTTCCTAATATTCTTCAACAATGAAGCTGGAGTTTTTGCCTGCTTCTTGGGGTGCTTGTCTTTAATCTCTTGCAGTCCAACCTGTTCCGTGGGCAGCTCACTATCTCTTGTTTGTGATAAGTCCCCTTCAGCTCAGAAGAACAACAAAGGCAGCATGCCCACTGCTCCAGTGGCTCCTCTTTGTAAAGAGGGCTGAGGAACAAAACTTACTTGAAAGAGAAAGGGAAATATTCAGGATATTGCAGGAAGGTTCAACTTTCCTTCCTTACCCAAAAAAAGGGAGAAGTTGTTCTTGTAGAATTGGAGCGTCTTAGTTACTGTTCCTACAATGAGTTCATTCTTCTGAATTGTGGGCATTGTTATGTTTGTTTCCAGTTTGCTTTTCATAATTATGTGTGCAACCGAAAACTTGTAGGAGAATATTAAAATACACTGGATTATATAGATAAATGTAATTTCAATAAGAGCTAAAAATATGTAAAAAAATGAACTCTTTTAAGGCTGATTATTATTATTAAATTTTATGAGACTAAACTGGAAGCAGTTGAGAAGTCTAGGGATTATCTTTTGAAGAAATAAAATAAAAAGTGTTAATTTTCATATTATCTACTTTAAAGAATGTGACTTTAAAATTTAGTTATTATTTTTAAAATAAAAATCTATTTCTTCTAATGTGTTTTTGACATGTGACTAGGTTCTGTCATGGATTCATCCAGAGACTCAAGCTGTTATTATGCGCTGCAGTCAACCCCTTGTTGGAATGAGTGGCAAGCGGAATAAAGATGATGAACGATATCTCGATATCATCAGGGAGGCTAATGGGCAAATCTCAAAACTGACCATCTATGATGCCAGGCCCAACGTCAATGCAGTCGCAAACAAGGTAAACAGATGCTTAATACTCTTATTTGGGAAGGAGGGGAAGGAGGCTTACTTTGAAGTTTTCTGTAGTAATCTTAATGTAGATAAGATAGGAACAGTAGTAATCTTAATGTAGATAAATTTACATAATCAAGTATATATTTACATGATCAAATGCTGAGGCTCATGGCCAGGAAAGGACACAAGTGCCTAAATGAGTTCATAAGCAGGGTTTCAGGGCCATATGTGGATTTCCAACACGCTTTACTCCCATTACCAGTCAAGCACAGATCTTAGCATGCGACTGAAATCAGGTATGACTACACTCTGCACTGTAAGGCAGATGTAGGCTGAGCTGTAGAGCGTGGCCTCTGTTGGAATGACATGGCACCTCTGTGCAAGCCACAGCTCTGCTCCGTGTCCTCTGGGAAAATCCTATCCTGGGATGACTGTGTACATAAAACCAAGCCCCCCGATAGGCATCCTTGGTTTGTTTCTTTCCTAACCATTGCGTGAACCACTTCAGACCTGTCCAGGCATCCAGTAAATAAAGAGAAAGTGATGAATAAGTTAATTTGGAGGTTTGCACTCTAAACAGCAGTATGGGTATGAGTTTGAGTACCTAGATACCTGTCCTTCCCTAGGTGCCCATAGTTGGTAACTGCAGTAACAGAAGTAGTGTTTCCATCTGACAAAGTCACCATTTCTTTGCTAGTCTGCCATCAAAGCCTGAATGGGATCAGAATCATAGAACAGCCCAGGTTGGAAGGGACCTCCAAAGACCATCTAGTCCAACCTGTCAAGAAGAAAAGGTGTCCCCCTCTGCCTCTCCTCAGCTCTGGTGAGGACCACATTGTTCAGGCATATTCAGATAACGCCAGGCACAGTGTGTCAGTGTTGTGTTTGGCGTAGAAAGCAACAGACATGGATGTGCTCTGTCTTTATATGAAAAGCCGAGTTAGAAGAGGAGGTGAAGGACACAACTTTAATGCTTTCTTCATATGAGAAAGTACCAACTTCACTCCCTCCATATCTAGGGCAGTCCCTTACTGGCTGAACTTCAAGCACAAATGAAGTGGACGTGCTCTTCAGTACTTACTAGTGAAGTTGTGTGTCTGCACAGCAAAGAGCATGAGATATATGAGCTCAAGAGGGTTTAAGATCTTAGTGAAATGATGAGTGTGCTTATCTGGGAGAGAAGGAGAGCTAGGAAACTAGCTTCTGAATAGTTTTTGGCACAAAACAAACACTAATGTAGTGGAATGAATCCTGCAATGCTTTTGCTGAAAGGAATATGAAATGGTAAAACTTGTCTGCCTCTAGGAGGTTTGTATGTAACAAATGTTAAGCTGCTTCAGAATTTGAGAGGGACAACAATGTTAGTGTTTTGCTCTGTGTAACTTAAACGCACGCATCTGTACCTTTACAGCCCTCTTCTCCGTCATAGACAATATAATTTGTTAAGCAAGAAATAAGGTGCTTTTTTTTTGTGTATAACATACATTCTTTCAGAGACCCTATCCTAGAGGCTTTTCGGCTGGATTTTAATTTGGTGGTTAATATTTTGAGGGACTGTCTCAATTGCTTGCATTTTACTCTACAAATTGCATTATCCTCTGAATTTTTCTGGGTGAACAAAACGTATAATCCTTCTGTTTGCCTGGTGGAAGGAATGTCAATTCTTATGTTAACTTAAATTTTTTCCCATTTCTTGGACAAACTCAAATATTTGCCCCATTTGTTTCAAAGATGTATTATGGCCAAATTTGATACGCACATACTGAAGTATGAAGCACAGTTTTCAACTTCCTAAAATGATCTGTGTATTTCACCCATGTGTTTTAATTAACTCCTGCTATGTCTAAATGTAAAATATTCAATCATAGCAGTAAAAGCAGTAGGGTGCATTTCTGAGTCTGAGGGGCAATGACATACAGAGTGCAAGCCAGTGTTGATCAGCACTGAAAACTTTCTTGAACAGCTGTGAACATTAGTATAAGCAAAATCTTGGGCTATGCTGCTCATGCATTCCTGTGTTCTTTGTGCATAGGTCAAGACCACACAGTCAGTGGGAGCTGCAGCAGCCTTGATGCTAAAATTACAGTCATTCCTCCCCAGGACTTCGTAGTACTTGAAGGATAGAGAAAAATACAATCATCACTACTTTTAGTGCAGAGCCTGGCAGCTCTGAGAATACCCCAGCATCTGAGGAAGGAGATAGAGAGCATAGGATAGAGAGATACTGTGCTGCTGTACAGAAGTGTTGGTGGTACTAATGAGTAAAGGCTGTACCATACTTCAGGTTGTTTTCTGATGTGTGGTTGGTGACTGCAGTGGCTTATAAAGTCAAAATTTATTTATGACAATTCATGGCACGGCATGTTTTTGCTGTCTGCAGTGCGGAAAATGCTGTCGTTTTGCAGCTATCTTCAGAAAACCTGATCAGTGGTATCGTGTCCTAAAATATGTGTGGTTTTTCCACTTCCTTTTGTGACCAGGCACATCCTCTGCTGTGGTGGTAATTAAATGTTTTGAGAGAGCAACAGTAGAACAGATTTTCTACTTATGTGGCTCTTTAATTTCTTAACAATCTAAATGTGTTTAATCTTCAGCAATAAAATTTAATGTTAGAAAAGTTACTTTAAAGTGGACTTTAATGTTATTACTAATTTACTTTTTAGAGGCAGAATCTAAGATTCTTGAATTTTCTTGAATTTAATTCTTAAGTGAAACATAGCTTATTTTTAACTGAACTCATAAATTTAATTTTACTTAGCCAAACATTTTATTATTTTTATCTATTTAAATATCTGTTCAATTTTAGTAGTAAATAACTATGCAGTTTAAACACCGGAAAGATATTTTTGGGTTTTTTTGTTAGCAAATTTGCCCTGGTAAACCTGAGATTTACTATTCTCTTTTGAATTAGTGGTGTAAAGAAACAGACAAATCTTTGTGACTGAATTTCTTTCTAATTTGCACAGAAACAAAGAAACGAGCAATTTTATTCCCTGGAAGTGGTGATCTAGTATGTTATGAGTAATTGCTGATTTATGTGATGTACTTTACATTTTAATTTAACCTTTATAATCTGTCTAGGAAGTAAGTTGATTTCTTTTGTATTCAGAATCATGAGTTTGTTTAATCCTTGGTAGGAAAATGAACATAAATGAAGAAAAAATATTGTCATCGTAATGTCAGTTAGTCAAGGAAAAGCTGTTTCCATCATGAAGCTCAAAAGCAATGGGGAAGGTACAAATGTCTTTTTATTGTCAAAGCGGTCAGTCCTGAGCGATGTGGTGCTGGCCCACTGTCCCTTACCTGGCTGGTTCAATCCTATTTGAAAGTCTCCAGGCCCAACAGTACAAACAACCTTTTAGTATTAATCTAAAACAATTAATTTTTGCTTTTAAGGTTACTCTCTTGAGGTTTTGAAAGGAACTGGGCTAGCTGGAGCAACTTTAGTGTCTTTCTGGCAATGTGCTATGCTTTGTCCTTTTGGACAAAGAGAGGCCTCCAGGTATTCTTCTCCAGAGTTTGCTCCTCCAAAGCTTGTATCTGAGACTGATATTTTAAATGAGTAGCTGAAATTATATATTGCACAACTACAAAATAAAGTATAAATAAAATTTAGTCCCTTCTCACTGTTGAAAAGCTGCTACAACAGTATGACTGTGAAGTTAATTTCAGATCTCTTACGTAGGCAACTGGGGGAGGATACGAGGGTGAAGATGCATATCCCAATGCAGAACTTTTCTTCTTGGACATTCATAATATTCATGTCATGCGGGAATCTTTGAAGAAGTTGAAGGACATTGTTTATCCTAATGTGGAAGAATCACACTGGTTGTCGAGTCTGGAGTCAACCCATTGGTTAGAACATATAAAGGTAAATTTTTGCTGTTTGAAATGATGCTTGTTCAAATCTGTAGTATCAGGCTTGCTTTGGTAGACTTTGAGATGTTCGATGTGTTCCATATCAGGACTTACTTGGATTACAAAAACAGCATCACTGAGAGCTGTTTTTTGCCAGCTGGTCTTAGAGTATATCATGAGAGATCGTTACTAAGCAGCAGTAGGTGAAATTCAACATTTGTTGTCTACCTCAAATTAAATGTCAGTCTTTAGCAGAGGAATGTATTATTAGTCTGGTTGTCTTTACATGTCTGAGAACTGATTTATTTTGGTTTCTAGCAATACAGGACTAAAGATAACTGTCATTGTGAAGGATTAATAATTACTTTCGTTGTCAATTTGTGTCTGATTTTATTCTGTGAATTATTGTTTTGTAAATAAATTGTGTAAGTTTTGTAATTTGCATATTGTAGCACAAATAAAAAACTTAAACTGGTAAATCACCAGTGTTCTTACTAGTGAACTGTTGAGCCTGTTGCCTCAAGTATGGCTGTGCAAAACTGTTTCACAGAATCATAGAATCATAGAATGGCATAGGCTGGAAGGGACCTCAGAGATCATCTAATCCAACCTCCCTGTCATGGGCAGGGACGCCTCTCAACTAGACCAGCCTACTCAAGGCTCTGTCCAACACCTCGAACGCCTCCAGGGAGGGGGCATCCACAACTCCTCTGGGCATTCTATTCCAAAGTCTTACCACCCTCGTACTGAAGAATTTCTTCCTAAGATCTAATCTAAATCTGTTCTCCTTCAACTTAAACCCATTTCCCTTTGTCCTATCAGTGGACACTCTTGTAAAAAGTCCTTCCCCAGCTTTCCTGTAAGTTCCCTTCAGGTATTGGAAGGCAGCTATTAGGTCCCCCCGAAGTCTTCTCTTTTCAAGGCGGAACAATCCCAGCTCCTGCAACCTGTCCGCGTAGCAGAGGTGGTCCAGCCCCTGGATCATCTTTGTGGCCCTCCTCTGAACATGCTCCAACAAATCTATGTCTCTCTTATGGTGGGGACACCAGAACTGGATGCAGTATTCAAGGTGGGGTCTCACAAGAGCAGAGTAGAGGGGGAGAATCACCTCTCTTGACCTGCTGCCCACGCTTCTCTTGATACCTCCCAGGATGCGGTTGGCCCTCTGGGCCGCATGAGCACACTGCCTGCTCATGTTGAGCTTCTCATCTATAAACCCCCCCAAATCCTTCTCTTCAGGGCTACT